GATCATAAGAGTTACTGTGGAGGAGTCATGAGTGGACACGTTCAGGATGTTTCAGGCTCTTAATGCTCAAACGAGAGACGCTGCTCGTGGATGCAGCGACTGACAAAGACGAGCAGATAGTCCGGCTCATACAGAACTACACACTTGGACAAACATCTGGTACTTTCCTCACAGCTGGTCTCAGCAACTGATCACAAACACATTCACTTTCACGAGCTTTTCACAATAAAACAGGATGCTGGTCAAAATGGACCATATACATTTTAAATGCTCTTTGAAAACTCGTTAAACATATTCCAAGAACCCTAACCCCCTAACCCCCTAACCCTAACCCTTTTAACATGGAGTGTAACATTATGGCCGTTTGAACCTGGTGAATGAACCAGGAAAATGTAAAATAACAAACACGTGCACTGAGTAAATCAACACATAATGAAGGTGTTTGTTTATAAATGATCTGTAAATAAACAACGGGACACATCCAGCCTGCTGCAGCAAATGTATTAAACTGATGGTCTGAGCCAACCGCGGGGTTTCATCAGCTCATACAGCGTCCAGCTGTGTGTTGTTGTTGTGTTGCTGATGACCACCAAAGCCAGTGATGCTCTGCTGTTACCAGTGAAATGAACGTTTGGAGTAACATGTTTATTGTCTTTAATGTCAGTTAAACATAAAATAAATACACCAGATACAAAAATATACATCCTACATTTTGATTCCATAAAAATGTGTTTCAAGAGAAAATCCCCGCTACAGTATAAGCATGATTTACATTTACACAGCAGACTGTAACATTAAATAAAAGAAATAACCTGTTATATTTTACTATAGTAGTCACAGGCACAGCACAGGAAATGCAGTGTTTGCAGTATCAGTACTGCAGCAGAGCTTTAACAGTCTTCCCATCTTCCCAGGGTCAAAAATAAGGTTGTTTCACAGAAACTAAACCAGAGTCCAGTGTTTGGCTGAGGAATGCGACATATGTCCATGTGTCCAGTTCAACGTACCGCGAGAGATGTGCAGTGAAGCACGTACTTTATACTACGCCCTTCTTTTCAGCTTTTGCAGCTTTTTTCTTGCAGCACACCACTGTGACGGTGATGATGATCCCGGTGAGCAGGAGGATGAGGATGATGGCAGAAATGATCACTGCAGGAGAGTACACTGTGGAAAACACAACACAGTCTGTCACACCAAAGCCTCACTGCTCATTTCTAACCAGTAACCCACACGGGATTACAGATTACTGTAGTCAGAGTACTCAGAGTACTTAGGACTACAGTACAAGCCACACTGAAGCTTTTCACACAAATCCACAGGCAGACTCTCTGTGTGGTGTTTGAACCGTGAACACAGTCACATGCATGCTGTGTGAGCAGGATCATCTGCAGCTCAACGTGACAAAGACTGTAGGAGGGCCGAGAAACCTGTGACCTGTTTCAGTCCAGCAGGTGGATGTGGACGTCGTGGACGAGCATACACACAGAAAACACCTGGACTGGGTCAAAAACACCACCGCCTC